CCCAACCCATCACATCCCATCACATCCCATCCCTTCTCCTTTGATTTCATCCCCTCTCTTCCCATCCCATCCCACCCCATCCCATCCCTTCCTATCCCACCCCATCCCACACCAGTGCCATCGGGAACACTCACCTTCCTGCCCTTCTCATTGTCGGGCAGGTAGCAGTGCCGTGGGAAGCCGCGTGCTGTGAACTTCTTGCCGGGATTGGGGTGCTCTGGGCCCTGGGTGGGAGGCAACAGGGTGAGCGGATGACACAGGGCGAGGACACCCAGCCCCACAGGGGGCCCTGGGGTGGCAGGTGCACGTTCTCACCTGGATGCCGGTGGGGATGTCGTAGACGATCCGGATGGTTTTGGAGTCGGTGTAACCCGGGAGGGAGTGGGGGATGAGGTGAAACTCCATCTTCCCAGGGGGCTGCGTGCCCGTCTTCTCCCCATAAATGGCCTTACAGGTGGGGCACTGCAGGCTGCCGTCCTGCGCGGGCCCCGCATGGGCATCAGGGATGGCACCTGCCCCGCAGTACCCCCCCGCAGGGACAGGTGATCACGGGGAGGGTGTCCTCACCCGGGGCGGGGTCCTGGCTCACCTTGTTGCCGTTGTTGTACATGGCCAGGAGGCAGAGGAGGTGGTACATGTGCCCGCACTTGCCCAGCTTGCCCACCAGCTCCGGCTTGATGCCCCTGTGGCTGAGGACGCCCTCGTAGCCGGAGGAGGTGACCAGTCGCTCCATGCAGATGGTGCAATCCTGCCAGACACAGGTTCACAGGCACCAGCACCCCAGTGAAATGGGGAGGTCACCCCCAGATCTCCCCATCCCCTGCCCACGCCTCTCCCTGTACCCAAGCCCCACAAATCTCCAGTGGCCCAGGGTGAGCCCATGGGCCGCGCCACGGTGCCCAGCAATGGCCACTCACCTCATCCGGGGGGCTCTTCACCTTCTGGATGTAGCGGCGCACCACATCCTCGGGGGTCTTGCCTGCCACAGGTAGAGGGGGAGCTGCCATCAGAGCCTGCCCATGGTGCCCCCAACACCCTGCCACCCCTGCCACCAGGATGGGGACAGTGCAAGGAGGAGAAGGTGCCAGCATGTGTCACAGAGGAGCTGTGAGCTTGACCCTAAAACCCCCGAGAAAACCCCAACCCTGCAGGCAGGAGCAGCGCCGGTGCCTCAGTTTCCCTTCCATCAGGGGACAAAGGCACACGGGGACGTTGCAGCTTCTTACTCTTTTTGAGATGCTTCTTTTTGGTTTTCCTGCAGATGCCGTTGACCCCAGGTACGGGTTTGATGTCGCTCTTGCTGACGGGCGGCGGGTGCAGGATGGGTTTGGGGGCGCGGGTCAGGCAGACGGGCAGCCCGGCAGCGCACATCAGGATGCCCGTCATCCCTGCACCGGGGGAGAGGTGCTGTCCATCCGTCCACCCAATGTCCATCCATCCTTCCCATCACCTGGCCATGCCCCAGTCCTATGCCCTGCCCTTCAGCCCCACAATGTCACCCTGTGGTGACACCAGGCTGGTGGCAGAACCCCCCCTTACCTGCGAGGGCGGGATGGACAGGGCCAGTGCCGTTCAGGTTCTTGACTGGGAGGGCTGGTACCCTGCGTGGGGAGGGAGGGGAAAGTGCTCAGTGGGGCTGGCAGGGCTGGCACCATTCCCTCCAAGCACGGCACATCCTTAGGGCAGTGTCCTCCCCGTGGCACACAGGGCAGTGTGACCCATGCCAGCCCTGGGGGTTTGCTGTCCCATCTCATAGTGCTGTCACCCAGTGCCACATGTCCACCCCACCCCTGGGGACCCAATGGCATTGGGGACATCACATCCTCCTTGACCCAGAGAAGGTGCCTCATTGGGATGTTCCAGTGGTGATGCCCAGTGTCCCACACCCCCTCCAGGGACCATCTCTGTGAGTCAGTGCCTCACCCATCACCCTGGCCATTGCTCCCGTGCCCCATGGGGACCCTCACCCCTCCAGGGCTGTCAGCACCAAGGACCCCCCCGGGAGATGGCACAATTCATCCCTGCCTGCTTGCCCCCGCTGACCCAGAGCACCTCCTGTGTGCACGTCCATCCGTGTGTGTACCCGTGACTGGGTGTGCACCCATGTATGCAAGGCTGGGTGTGCAGCTGGGAGCGCAAGCAGATGATCTGGGTGGGAGCTGGGGACTCGTGCACAGGTGTGCGCAGGTACGGGTGGGGCTGTGCCCATGGGGGTGGGAGGAGGGAAGGATGGACAGAGGGGTAGGTGGGGGGAGGGAGGGAGAGATGGACAGATGGTGGGTGGGTGCAAGGAAGGAAGGAACGAAGGAAGGAAGGAAGGAAGGAAGGAAGGAAGGAAAGAAGGAACAGGGCACACACTGGGAGGAGGATGAGCAGGAAAGCACAGCAGAGCAGTCCTGCACAGTGCCCAAGAACCCTCTTGCCCTTACCCCACTCCAGCAGCCCATAGAGAACTGCTCGCCCCTGCTGCCCACTCCTGCCCACATCCCGAATCCCAGTGCCAGCTCACCCCCACACCACACTGCCCCAGCTCAGCAGCCAGGCCAACAGTCCCCACCACCAGTGTCATCCCCTGGCGATCCCAAAAGCCCCCCAGGCACACAACCATTGGGGCGATGAGTTTGGCAGGGCTCAGCCCCACACAAGCCAGGGCTGTGGCTGCTTTCCCTCCCACTCCCAAAGCTGCCCTTACCCACGCCAAGGCCGGGGCAGTGGTGCAGGCCCCAGTCCAGCCCCCTGCTGGGGTCTTCCTGACCCCCTCTTACCTGTGAGATGGGGCCCGTGTGCCGGAACGGGGATGGGGACAGTGATGGGGACAGGGACAGAGACTGCTTGGCCCAGCACCCGGCATGCGGAAGCGAAAGCAGTACGTCAGCAGGGGAAGGAAACACGCCAGGACCCGCTAAGGGGCTCAGCAAACCTGCCTCCCCCCCCCGTGCCCCCAGGCTGGGGCTGGATGCTGCCCGCATGGCAGAGAGCTGGGAGGGATGGGACTAGCTTTCCCCCCGTCCCCCAGGACAGCTTGCTGCAGCCGAGGCAGCTCTGACCGAATACCCCAGGGCAGGATGAGGGCCGGTTCCCACCCGAGTGAGCAGCAGTGGGGTCTTCCACACTGGCAGCCCTGCCGTCACAGCCCGCTCATGAGGTCAGGCTTGGGGCCATGGCTGCTCCTGCCTGCCCTGCCTGCCCCCTAGCTGGTGACAGCCCTGTGCTGAGAGCCCTGAGGGAAAGCCAGGCTGACCCACTGAGGCGTACAGCCGTGGGGGCTTGTGTGCTGGGACAGGGACACCCCACTGGGGGTCTGCTCACCCACCCACATCCCCTTGGAGAGTTATTCCCATCCATACAGGGGACACGGCTGTGGTCCCCACAACTGTGTCCTCCCCAGAGACCTGCCTGGTGGCATCGGGCCATGAGCTGGGGTCATACACCCTGTGCTGGCCAGCAGGGACACAAGTCCCCTGGGACCAGGCACTCCATCTCTTCCCAGCAGCACAGCACAGCATGGCACGGCATGGCACAGCACGCTGCACAAATCACGGCAGCCCCTCTGCAGGGGCAAGGATCCAGGGAACCCTCCAGGACAAGCCAACTGCTGGGGCTGTCCCTCCTGCCACCATGTCTCCGGGGTGGGATGCCCACAGCTGGAGGTGACACAGTGACAGGAGGCCTGGGGCTGCCTGTGCAAGGTGACAGCAGGGGATGAGGCACCACCATCTCCCCCTTCCCCCTGCTGTGTGTGCCCATCCCTGCACCCACCTCTCCTGGCATCCCTATGGCCTCAGTGACACCATGGCCATCCCCTTTCCCAGGCCACTCTCCCCCAGCCAGCTTACCCCGGGGGGACAGTGGCACGGGCGCCGAGTCCGGCCCCCCGCTGCGTGCCAGGCTGGTTGAGGTTGTTGAGCCCCGGCAGCGTCGCCCCGCTGGGCACACTCTGGCTGGGGGCAAACGCGCCGCCAGGCACCCGCAGCCCCTCGCCCTTGGCTGTGCCACCCGCCACCGCCGCTGTCCCTGTCCCCGCCGGCCATAAAGCTGCCCCAGCAAAGGTGCTGCTCTGGCGGACGGCACCCGGGTAGAGCTTTCGGCGCTGGGAAGCCAGGATGGCGTTGGAGGCAGCACGGGTGCTGTTGACCAGCAGGCACTGCGGGCAGGAGCAGGGTGTCCCCGTGCTGGCGCCCACTGGCCACGACTGCGACTTGGGGATGGAGCCCATGGTGAGGGGATACGCCAGGTCCATACGACGCCGGAGCCGGCGCTTGCGCTGGGTTTGCCGGTTCATTTGGGACATGTTGCTGAAGTAGATGAGGTAGCAGAAGCCCAGGGAGGAGAGGTCCAGCCAAGGGTGCTGCTTCTCGTAGGCATTCTGGATGGTGATGCAGATGTCCATGTCGTAGGGTGTCCAGGAGCTGTTGTCGTTCTCCCACTCCCACACGATGCCCTTCCCCGGGGCTGAGGATGGGTCATAGAAGTTCCTCCGTACAGGGCGCATGGTTCCTGGGGAGACAGGAGGGGTGAGCACCTGTGGGGCTCCAGCACCCCAGGATGCTGGTGGAGGGACCCACACCTGCACACACAGATGGGTGTCCAGTTCCCAGCCTTGCATCCCACAGGGATGGAGACAGATACACTTCAACATGCAAGCAGCCACCCTCACCCTCCGCAGAGCATCCCACTGTGCAGGAGGGGTGACAGCCACCCCAACACAGGCATCACCCACCTCCCCTCTGCCAAGCAGCGGCGGCGTGCGGTGGATCGATCAGCGTGTCTGCAGGGCTGCGCCTCCCCGGGGACTCTTGAGGCTCAACAACCCTCCGTTAGCGGTGGCGGCTTGGCCGCCGGCCGGGCTGCTGGCAGTCAGGATCATGGCCCCGGCTGCCGTGGGAAGAGCGATGCTGCTCAGCCCTCAGCACCTTTTTCCATCCCTCTGGCCCAGGCCCACCTCCGCCTCCCCCGGAGGCAGGGGGAGCATTTCCCGGTCAGGAGTGGTTTCCTGACAGCTGTCACAGCTCTGGCCGGTGCTGGCAGTGACGGGAGCGAGGCGTTGTCCCCTGTATAAGGCCAAATCCTGACCCCTCACTGCTTGTTTGCAACCGACTTGGATGCCACAGCTGCTTCTGAAGCTCCACGGTGAGAGGAGGCATCACAGCCCCCTCCCTGAGCTGCAGCCCTGGCAGTGCCCCTGCAGCATCGTGCTTTCCTATCCCCTCGCCAGCACCGTTTGCCCAACCCAATTAACGACGCTAATAACGTTCATTAATCATCAGCCGCGCCAGGCAGCAGCGCCTGGCCCCAGCTGCCGGCTTGTGCTGAGGCAGCTCTGCCGGCGGCCCCGCGGGAGGGAGGCAGGGAGGCTGCACACCCCGCGCCGGCAGCCCGCGGAGAACCACTCGCCCCTGCTGCCCGCTCCGGCCCCCATCCTGCACCCCACTGCCAGCTCACGCCCACATCCCGCTCACATCCGTGCCCTGCATCCAGCTACCGTTCACATCCCTGCCTGCCACCTTGCGTCCATGTCCCCCATCCTGCTGCCCGCTCATGCCCGCATACTGCATCCCACTTGCATCCATGTCCCACATGCTGCCAGTCCCTGCGACTGCAGCCTGCTGCCCGCTGCCCGCTCACATCCACACCCTGCTGCCCACTGCCGCACAGCAGAGGACGAGGGGAGGACAGCCCAGCCTGTGCATGTGGGCACACACAGCTCCGGGTCCCCGAGGGCCACCAGCTGCCCCCAGCCCCACAACCAGCCATGCTGGAGCTGCAGGGCTGAGCCAAGTGTCCCCAGGGCCACAGGGAGGGGACACACATCTCCGCTGCTCGGAACAGGGTCACCTCATTTCACACTGTCACCATTTTGGATTGGGTTTCTCCTTCCCCAGGCACGGCACGGGCCAAGACCCCTCCTGCCCACCTTCCCTGTGTCCCTTGGCCACGGCAGGCACCGGGAGCACCCTCAGCACGGGGGACCCTCATGTCCCCAAGCACCACAGGACTCCAGCCTCCAAACCTGGCTGCCCCCAGCCCACATTCAAGGGCAGAGATGATGGATGGAGGCAGATACAGGGATGGGGCACACAGAGACAATGATGCCAAGAACCATCTATAGAGTGGAACTGAAGTGATGGCCACATCCACTCCCATGACATCCCTAAGGATGGTGAGGCCCCTCTGTCAGCATCCCTGTCTCCAAGCTCTGTGGGCACAGGGACCACAGTGCCAAGGACCATCCCAGGAAGAGCCGTTTTGCTCCTGGCAGACATGTCACCCCCAAACCCAGTTTTGGCCCCACTGTGGTCACGTGTTCCACAGGAGCACCCGGCACCATGTCCATGGGATGCAATGCCAGGTGCCTGCTGTCAGAGGATGGGTCCTGGCCAAAGCTGACAGGACCTGGCATGGGGACAGCCAGGGTGTCCCGGTGGCACCCGCAGCCCTGAGTCAGCGCGGCCACGCTGACTCAGGGCTGTGGGTGCCAAGTTGACCCTTGCCGAGGCCAGGACTGGCTGGAGACTGGCTGATTCAAAGCCAGGCTTGATGGCAGAGGCAGGGTGGCAGGTCCCTGGCTTGGTCCCCATCTGTCGGTCCCCAGTGCATTGACAGAGCCACATCTGTACACAGGGCCATTCACCATCACTGGTGACTGGGAATGGTGGCACCAGTGGCCGGGCAGGGGGGGCACAGCCATGGGAGTCCTGCTCTGGGGTGGCCCCTGTGTGTCCCCAGACAAGTCGGGGGG